AGTAAACTTCCGACGGGACTGGAATTAAGAAATGCAGTTTGAAATGCATTTAGAAACTGCATTCGTGACTGCGCCCTAGTAGTTCTATGAATTTTGAATTTTGAGAATTTTTGAGGGGAAAAGAAAGAAAAAAACAGTTAGTGACAATTACCTGTGTTGACCATTATTCAGCAGAATGGGCCCGGTATCATCAATGAAACCCTTTTTGCTGGGCCCATTCCGTGATGCCACCTGTTCCATCTAGGGCCAGATCTCAGTTCCCCAGATTCCTTGGTGCCTGCCTGCCTGCCTGTTCATAATGGAGATTCCGTGGGGGTTTCAGTGGGACCTTGCCCTGGTCGATTGCTTTTCGCCCATGTCCCTGTGGTCGATTTCTTTTCACCCATGTCCCTGTGGTCGATTGCTTTTCACCCATGTCCCTGTAGTAGACTGATTTTCAGCCATGTCCCTGTGGTCAATCTGATTTCCATCCTTTTGTTGGTCCATTGCTTTTCACCGATGTCCCTGTGGTGAATTGTTTTTCGTCCATGTCCGTGTGGTCCATTGCTTCGATTGCTTTTCACCCATGCCTCTGTGGTCGATTGCTTTTCACCCATGTCCCTGTAGTCCACTGATTTTCAACCATGTCCCGGTGGTCAATTTGATTTCCATCCTTTTGTTGGTCCATTGCGTTTCACCCATGTCCCTGCGGTGAATTGTTTTTCACCTATGTCCTTGTGGTCCATTGCTTTTCGTTTATGTCCCTGTGGTCCATTGCTTCGATTGCTTTTCACCCATGCCTGTGTGGTCGATTGCTTTTCACACCTGTCCCTGTGGTCCATTGCCTTTCACCCATGTCCCTGTGGTCGATTGCTTCTCACCCATGTCCCTGCGGCCGATTGATGTTCAGCCATGTCCCTGGGGTCAATCGATTGATCCGATTTTCACTTATGTCCCTGGAAGACACAGGACTCAGCTCCATCGCTCTCCCTCTTCTCCTCCCAGTAAGCCTGAGACGGACAATCTGTTTATGACCAAAGCATGATCCACCATAGACGGAAAGCACGATCCGCCATAGCCCGAAACTACTTTGGGATCCACCATAGCCGGAAAGCTCGTTTCCACGGAATGACGATCCACGGTACGTGGGTCGAGCTTTCTTCTGCTCGAACAGACGGAGGAAGAAGTAGGAGAAGGAGGACGATTAAAAATAAATGACGACAAGGAGGACGAGAAAAATACATAACGACAAGAGAAAGGAAAAGACAAATTCATATAAAGAAGATTATAAAGAAGAAGAAAGACGAGAAACTCAATGGCAAAAGGAAAGAAAAGAAAAGAAAGAATGCAAATGACCTTAGGCTAGCTGAGTTGGTACACCCCTGAATGAACTGTTGAAACACACAGACCTGAGTTCCAACTCCACTGAAGTCAAATGAGTAAAATACTACAATCTTTTTTGTTCTTTTCTTTTTCTATAACAAGACGGGAATGGTCCCCGCGTAGGGTTTGGGATGACAGGATAAACTAACAATGGTTAGGGTTTGTCCTCTTTTTTTGAACCTACGTATATAGTCGGAGTACTGGAAGCTGGTCTGTCTTTTTCCTCTTTGTTTTTCGGTGTTTTTCTTTCTTATGTTTTTTTTCTCCGACATGGAGTTTTGTGGTGTGTACTGGCCCCGTTTTTGGGCTTGGGCGATTTTGTCTCGCCCTTAAAGCACCAGTACATGGGCACCTGCACCTCGGGTCTGACCTGACACCTCAACGAGGCTGCCAATCGAATTTATCAACGGCGGGCCCAGCGTTTGACATTGCGGCCTCGGAGTCGTTTTCTTGTGGCGACAAGTTTCGGACTGCAAGGCTGGGGCCGTGTACTTGTGGTTTAAACTGGACCACAGAATTTTTGTGAGGGACCCCAGGCCCGTTTTTGCCGACCCTGAATTTCACTGCACTCCGAGTTTTGCCGATCCTGGGTCCCACTCCATTTTCGTCATGGTATTCTCACCGGAAGAAGAAGAAGAAGAAGAAGAAGAAGAAGAAGAAGAAGAAGAAGAAGAAAAGTTGCCACAGCCAGAAAAAAAAAAAAAAAAAAAAAAAAAAAAAAAAAAAAAANAAAAAAAAAAAAAAAAAAAAAAAAAAAAAAAAAAAAAAAGTTGCCGCGGTCAAACTCACAAAACAAGAAAACAGAAAAAAGGAAACAAAGCTCAGGCCGTGATTGCAGTTGTATACATTCTTGGAAGTGGTAGTGTGAGTGTGCCCCATCTTAGCCCCGTGGCCAGGTTGTCAGATTCCAGAAACACAAAACAAGAAAAGAAAAGAAAAGAAAAGAAAAAGTGTACATGGGCCCTTTCTAAAGGAGAACAAGGCATGGTCGGCCAGGTTCTGGCTGACGAAAATGCTACAATCTTGAATCACCTAGGACCGGTCAGTTTGATGATCATATCTCAAGGCCGTCGCCTTTTTTAAAAGAAAGGCTGGGGGGCGGGCAGGGGGGCAAAAAAAAAAAAAAAAAAAAAAAAACTCACTGGCCTAATGAACTGTTGGAAGGCACACCTGAGTTCGAATGGCCATTGGAATCAGATGAGAGGGAATAGGTCCGAAATTACCAAGCCTATGTGGCTGAATGGTAGACCCATCAACTGTTTAGAAATACACCTGAGCTCAAATCCTTGTGAGATCAGTTTGAAGAGAGAGGAGAAGAAAAAGAAAAGGGGAAAGAACAAAGAGCAGCGGCAGAAACAGAGGAGAAGAAGTAAAAGAAAGGGTGAGGAACCAACGGAGGGCCAGCAAGGGGTTCCCGGCACCAGGGATACTCACGCTGGTCCTCTTTTTTTTTTTTTTTTTTTTTTTTTTTTTTTTGCTGCACAGGAAAATATCGGCGTGTTTCTAAAATCAAAACACTATTGGCGAAGAGCAGCCAACTGTAATCCGCAGATCTAAAAAATGCCCAAGGCGAAACACGAGAATTATACCGAATAACCTTCCAATTATTTCCAACGGCAAGCTAAATTCTCAGATATAATTCAGTTCTAAATTCCAGACCCCTCGGCCTCAGTCCAAGTACCCTACTAATACTTTTCCATCAGGATTCAAGTAAACGGCTAAACTATGAGGCCCAATGACCAGGAG